GCATCTCTGGCCTCTGGCAAAAATGAGGCTACCAAGAGGCAAAGAGACATATCTGGCTTTTAGCCAAAGAAGAAATGGGCTCTTTTTCTTTGGGGTCTTTTTACCCTAAATGTCTTAGCTAATTTTTACCTCATGTATTTCTCACCTGTATCAGAATATTCAACAAAATGTACAGTCTGCAAGACTGTGCCCTGTGCTCTGTCCTATTCTCAAAAGACACTGTAAGTACATCTTTGTGCATTCCCAGTCTTGTGTCACATGTGCTCTGGGGCATGCTAAATTAAACTTATACAGAAAAAGGAATGCTAGAAATATAAGGCATGCTTGACCTAATTTGACACAACTCAACTAAAGTTTCAGCAATGCTTTAAACTTATAATGGCAAAAAAATAATTAAATACACACTCAGTAAAACAAAGACAACAACAATATTTAAAAAGGCTGGGCGGCGGCGGCGGCGGCGGCGGCGGCGGCGTTGGCGCACGCCTTTAATTCCAGCACTCTGGAGTCAGACAGAGGAGGGTGGATCTCTGTTAGCTTAAGGCCAGCCTAGTCTACAGAGCAAGTTCCAGGACAGTCAGGGCTATAGAGAAAAGCTGTCTTGAAAAACAAAATAACAACCAACAAACAAAACAAACAAATAAAAATCAAGATGGTAAAACAAAACAAAAAAAAGCAAGCACATGCAATAAGAGCAGGAAAAGGTTGAAGGGTTTAGAGTGCATAGATGAAAGCCAGAGAGAAAGTAGCAGATCTGCAGAGGTAAATCCTTATATTGAAGTCGCAGAACCTGAAGCTATAGAGATAGTTCAGTGGGTAATAGTGCATTTGCCATAAAGGACTGAATTAAAATCTCCAGGACCCACATAAAAGCCAGAGAGTGTTTCTACTCTGGACTGTCAAGGCCAGTAAGCCTGTGGCTTATGCAGTGGAAAAACAAGGGACCCTGGATCAACCAAGGAGAGAGATGAGAACAGACACCTGAGTTGGTCCTCTGACCTTCATATGCAAACCTCAGAATACTGTGCTGGCTAGGATTTGTCAACTGGAACCAGGCTAGAGTCATCTTAGAGGAGGGGACTCCTTGTGAGAATGCCTCCTTAGGAATACTCTATAAGCAATCCTGTAGGGCATTTTCTTGAAAAAAATTCGACATGGGCAGCCCATTGTAGGTGGTGCTATCTAATGGTAGATGGTACAGAATGGTATAATAAAGCAGCCAGGACAAGCCATGAGGAGCGAGCCAGTAAGCAATATTTCTTCATGGCCTCTCTATCAGTTTTTGACTCCAGGTTCCTGCCTTAAGATCCCGCCCTAACTTCCCTGGATTGTGAACTACAAGCACAAGATGAAATAAACCCTTTCCTTCCAAAGTTGCTTTTGGTCGTGGTGTTTTATCACAGCAACAGAAATCTTAACTAAGGCATGGAGCACACTGGTGTGAAAAATGCAGACAGACAGACAGATAGAAACACACACACACACACATACACACAAACACAAATATAACCTAAGAGACAACGAATTTACAATGTAAAATTATCCCAAACCTATAGAAACTGAAAGTGGCATCCAATTCTACAAGTGAAATTGAAAATGTGAGTTTTATGAAAAACATAGCTTTGTCTGAAAACATAAAAGTAGATTGCCAGCCCCTCCTCAATCACTGTGAAGCTTTGCTCACCTTCTTCATGCCATGCAGCAGAGGCTCCTAAGATCTCTCAGGTAGGATTTTTCCATCAGATTTTCTCCTGAGGAGGCCAGTGGCTTCTACCTCAGGGAGCAATCCAGGAGCTTCAAATATGGTCTCCACTGTTTTCTAGGAATCTAATCTTGGCTCCTCCACCAACTGCCTTGTCTTCTCCTCCAATATGGCCTGTATCCAGTTTAACTGTGAGCCAGAGATAGCTCCTTTAGATTGTTTTGGTCAGGTGTTTTGTAACAGCAATGAGAAAATTAACTAAGACAAGCATGAGTATCTGAATACCAGGAAGTGTCCATCCTGGGAATAACCTTAGGAATGGCCAGAAAGGGTAAAGTCACTTTCCCAAAGTAACACAGGTACTAGTTGTGGCCATACTGCAAACAGTTACCCAGTTCATTTCTAGAGTTCATGTTCTTTGTGAAATATTTACAATTTTATTGTGTTGGTGTGTGTGCATGTGTGTATGAGTATGTGTCCACACACATATGCACTTATATGACTGTATTTATGTGATTGAGTGTGTACTACAGAAAAATTTGGAGGGTAGGGGAGAACATGTAGCAGCTTGTTCTCTTCTTCCACCATGTAAGTACCAGGGACCAGACTCATGTCATCGGGCTTAGCAGCAAATGCCACCACTCACTGGTTCAGAGTTCTCAGCAGTCAAGCAAATGCTCACATGCTGACTGGATGCTATTTTTCTTTCATGCTCATGAGAAAACAACAGTGGCAACGTCTTTCATGGGTTTGTCCTCCTATGACTGTAGGTGTGTTTGGAGATGACTACTCATACTAGTTGACATTCACATGTGTGGATGCACACCAAAGTGCATGACATAGATTCAGAAGTTCGTATTCTTCAGGCCAGCACTTTACCAATGGAGATATCAGGTGTTAGGAAGTGTATATGATGCATTTTGTGTCCAGTGTTTAGGGCACATACCATGACACTCTTATTTACCTCTGCTTCAGAAAGTGTACATGAATACCAGAGAGAGTTGAGTGAATATAAGTATAACCTTGAATTCACTCTAAAGTATAAAGAATTCCAACTCTCTCAGGCTTTAGAACTTGACTGGAAATGAATTATTTGAAGCTCCCCTCACAGTTGATCATGACGAACGGCAGCTTCATATTCCTGGGATGGGACATTAGTCACAGGGGCAGAAGTCAGCTAGGGTGACAAGCTTGTACTCTATCTTGAATGATGTTAGGATCCACTGAAGTGTTTTAAGCATGGTTAGGTGACATAATTCAATGCACACATGCTTCTCAGAAACACAGGATTTTGTGTGAAGTATTAAATATAAATTCTTATGCCTAAGATGGTTAATGTATCTTTTAAGACATCACCTTTGCATTCTTCCAAATCTGTTAGCGTTGGTTTAATGAGATTAATCCTTATCAAGTCTATAGCTCTGTTAAAGCTCCAAATTAAGTGACCCCTGTGACCTCTTCCTGTTCTTGTATGAGCATGCAAGAACAGTGCCTGCCCTGGCTTATGAGCATGAGGACACAGCTGATGGTCTTATTTATGTCTCTGTCCTTTGGTGAAACCATGCTTGTTGACATACATCTATAAATTAGACAGCAATTGTTAGGTGAAGATGGATTGAACTGGATACAATATTATATCAGTTACTTTCCTAAACTTGGCATATATAAATGTAAGAGAATGTTCCTTTTGGCTGGAGGATATCTCAGTTGGTACAGTGCTTGCTTTGCAAGCATGAGGACCTGATATGATCCCCAGAACATGTAAAAGCAGGCATGGTGTGCACATTTGTAAGGCTCATGTTGAGGTGTTGATAGGCAGATTCTAGAGGCTCAATAGCCAGGCATCCTAGCCAAATAGGCAAGGGGAAACCAAAGTGGTTACTAGTTAGAAACAACCTCTGAAGTTGACTATTGGCATCACACAAACACACAAATGCTTGTACACACACACACACACACACACACACACACACACACACACACACCCCAAGACAGTGTCCTCATATTTTAAAAAGACATAACAGCATATGTGAATTTCAAATTCACTAGCAAAATATATGTTGAACCATGATGCTGCTTAGAGATGTTGCTAGACGCTGTGATGCAATGTCCCATGACACATAGCCATGATTCTTAGAGGTCCTTTAGCACGTTATAGAAGGTAGACCAGTGTGTTGATGGTCCTAGCTTAGTCCACTGTAGAGGCATAGGGGCAGCATGTAAATCAGCCAACACCAGGGACAGACAGGAGGGGAGATTTTGGGATAGCTGTACCCCTGAGATGGGCCTAGAAGAATGAATGAATAAATTATAAAAGTAATGGTGTGTGATTGCTATCTTTAACTGTAAACATGACACAACTTGAATACCCTGAGAAGAGAGTTTCAAGGAGGGGTTGTCTATACTGAGCTGGTCTGAGGACATGTTTGTAGGATTATCTTAATTGGTGTGGGAAGATATAGTCCACTGTGGATGGCACCATTCTCTAGACAGGGGATCCTTGTTTTAGTTAGGTTTCTATTGCTATCATAAAGACATAAAGAAAAGACTTATTTCAGGTTATAGTCACAATTTATAATGAAGGGGAGTCAGGGAAGGAACTCAAGGCAGGAACCTGGAAGCAGGAATTGAAGGGAGGCAATGGAGTCATACTGCTCATGGTCTTGCTAACATGGCTTGCTCATCCTGCTTTCTTATGCCACACAGGACAATAGTCTGAAGGGTGGCATTGCCTCCACTGAGCTACACCCTTCCACATCAATCATTAATAAGTAAAATGCCCAGTAGAGTTCCCTACACTCCAGTCACTTGAGGGCATTTTCTCCTTTGAGGTTCTGTTTTCCAAAATGACTCCAGCTGTGTCCAGTTGACAATAGCCCAAGCAGCATAGTTTCTGAACTATTTGAATGGAGAAGGTAAGCCTTGTGAAAGCAAGCCAGCAATTAGACAAATGTGCATTTGTTTCTCTGTGTCCTTAGCTGTGAATGTGATATGACTGGCTACTTCAAGTTCCAGTAACTGTGATTTCCCCACAGTGATAGACGGCAACTTAAAACTGAGGAAAAATAAGCCCTTTCTCCCTTATGTTGCTTTCTTGTCCAGGTATTTTATCACAGCAACAGAAATGAAACTATAATGGGCATAAGTTCATGAAGTACCACAACACTGGGCTGTAAAGGCTTTGGGGCTGTACAGGAAGGGAATAGAAGAAGCATGAGAAGGAGGCTTAAGTATGAATTACTGACCCCTGCAGAGGGATATTCAGAGCCAAGTAAAGTTTGCCTTTCTGTCTTTCCAGCCATCTATGAGCAATCCTGTGAGGTGTACAGACACCGAGGAAACAAAGCTGGCTTCTTCTATGTTGACTCTGATGGCAGCGGGCCGCTGGGACCTCTCCAGGTGTACTGCAATATCACTGGTAAGGGCCATGATTTCCAAGCATGCTTAGTCTGCGCAACTGCTCGTGAGATGGAAGGGAGTTTCTAGAAAGGGACACCTGAGTGAGTAAAATCTTACAGGACTAGCTTCAGTGGGAGAAGGATGCTGCCTTCACAAATATTCGGAATTAGCCTAGTTATTTTCAAGAAAAAGGGTAGAGGGAGCTGGGTAATGGTTGTGACACTATTCCCTGAAACAAGGATGAATCACCCACTGTTCTCTGTGGGGCTTGCCAAGGTCATCTTCTCTGTTAAAACTCAACAACAATAAGAAAAGGAGATAAGAACAAAATAAATAAACAAACAAGAAACAAGACGTAAAAGTTAGTGGGAAGTCCTGATTTACACAGGGGAAAATTCGTTCATAGCTGGTTCTCTGGACTATGCATCTGGGTGAGTCCTACCTTCTTGAGCTTCAATAGTTCATCCATGAAATGGATTACACCAAGAAGCTGTAAGGATAGTAGATAATCAGGTGTGTTGGAGCAGCAAGTAAATACCTGAAATACAGCCCTCACCTCAAAAGGAGAAAGAGATGGTTTTTTCAAGAACCAAACAGAAGTGATGCACAGTGGCCTGAGAACATAGATATAGGTTATCACAAATTCCATGTTCCATCATGCTAACAGTTTCATGATAACTTTGTAAATCAAGATATTTCTATATATGCTAGTCAAACATCAGGTGGGAAGATTTCAGGAAAGCTGAACGTCTCTGCTCTAAGCCTCACATGCTATCCGATGACATTCTTAGACTTTAGGTTCATGAAATATAGGGGCCACTACAAATATTTCAAGAGTACTTGCCAGACAGTCACAGGAATGTTGTGTTATACACAGAGCTGGGCAATAAGTTACTGTTCAGTAGGCCAAGATTTCTCAAGGTAAATGTACACTGGATCTGCAACATTTTGGCTTGTCCCCAATCACCAAAATTACAATCAATTAGCTTTGTATAACATTCAATATAGGTATAGCCTCTTTTTCTGGGAATTGTAGTTCCCTTGTGAATCACCATCATCATCATCTCATCATCATCATCTTCATCTTCATCAGAGAGAATGATTTCTATGGAATATCCTGAGAGCATGTAACTTCTTTATAAATTAATTGCATAGGTTTAGAAATGGCATCTGAGTTTGAGCAGGTAAAAGCCCTTGGTGCCAAGCCCAGTGATCTGAGATCAATCCCTGGACCCCACATTAGGAGGAGAGAACTGACTCCAACAAGATTCCTACATGTTGTCTTCTGATTTCCACAGATTCACACTGGTACACATATGCCGTCCCCACAAGTAAAATACATGTTTTAAAGTGGCATTTCATGGTTAGTTTATTCTGTAATACAATTCCACCTTCCCTAACATTGATGTGGTAGGTTTTTAAGCATTTAGCTTTGCCAGTAGTCCTTCTGTGAATGATGGTCATTAACTGTTGGCACCTCTCCCTCTCCCTCTCTCTCCCTCCCTCCCTCTCCCTCTCCCTCTCTCTCTCTCTCTCTCTCTCTCTCTCTCTCTCTCACACACACACACACACACACACACACACACACACACTCACAGTTTACTTCAAGCCCTGGTTCTCAGAGATGCCAGATGTACCCTGTAATGAAGCAACAGAGTCAGGCCTCTCATATGTCATGGAGTATTTGTACTCTAGGCTCTTCAGTGGTGCAGCCTGCTTATAGAGCTCTTTCTAGACAGATAGCGCCCAAGGCACTAAGGATATGCAAGAAATGACACCATGGCTGGTCATGCGACAGTCAGCTTAGGGACACAGCCATGTGATGCTGTAGGCAGAATGACACCATGGCTGGTCATGTGACAGTCAGCTTAGGGACGCAGCCATGCGATGCTGTAGGCAGAATGCAGTGGAGCCACAGCAGAGAGTGATGACACAGACTGTTCAGCCATTTTCCCTACTGAATGCCAAGAACCGGACACTGGCCGAAGAGAGTGCTAGGTAGGCCGTGTTGTTGTTGTGGCCTTTCTTGTGTGTTGGTGTGTTTCCACAGTACTTCATCTAGTGAAGAGTGGCTGTCTGTTAGCTACTTTGTAGTTGCCCTGGAGCAGGAATAGCAATTGTGCTCTTTGCTGCTCTTGGTTGTAGTGACCTAGTTCTACTCAACAACTTAGTCTAGGATTGGGTTTGACAATGTGTCCTGATTCTTTTCAAAATGTAACTCACACATAGTTTCTAAGTGAAAAAAATATATATGCAGAATTTTAGACTAGCCTCAGAAATTCTAATTTACTAAATGTACTTTTTCTAAGATTTCTAAGGTTTTTAGATGCAAATTCTCCTGATAATTGCTTTCCAAAAAGAGATGTTGTGGCTACAAGAGAAAGTGAAGGAGACAAATGCTTACTGCTGAGTAACAGGTGTCTCATGTATCCAGGAGTTGGAAGGCTGCCAACAACTGAGAGCAGATATTTTAGGGAGTTTAACTGGAGCTTACAAATACCATCTCTGTTAATTCCACCAGAAAAATCTAAGCAAATAGCTTTTAAAAAATCTCCATCTTGTATGGAAGAAAGAGAATTTCAGAATTTCATGACTTGCTGCAGGTAGTAAACCAAGCAGCTATCCACCAGCTAGGACCATGAATGCCCTCTGGCCCAGTCATAATCCATATCCCTGAAACATTGACTGGAATTCTGTATTGCATATATCTTTACCTTAATCAACATTTTGATTTTTATTATAAAATTAATAAATGATTATTGTTGAAAGTCTGAAGAATGGAGAAATCTATAAAGAAATGCTAAAACAAATCATAATCTAAAATCAAGATATTAAGTTACTAAATTCTTAGAAATGTAAAGATTTTTTCTATAAATGGATTGTGCATTTAAACACAATATACATCTGAATCACATATTTTTATTTCAGTGTTCACATTTAAGCTTTTTCCTGTTACATTAAAACATACTTTGAAATTAAAATGTATATATTACAATAGCACACAAAAATTAAACTTTCCAAAGTAACATACATATAAGAACTTAGAAGGCTTTATTCATTCAGAACTGTGTTTTTGAACCCTGCCTCTTGGGGTTTATTGTTTGATAGTTTATCAATTGATGAGTAAAGAAGGTGTAGTTGATCTTATGACTTGCTGATTTGGTGCTGTAGTCATGAAGGAACTAGATCTTGGGACCTGTGTCTTGATGATCCTGGAGAAATCAGGATTCCTCTCTTGGGGCTCCTAATTTAATTAATTAAAGAATTTAAGAATAAAGTCAAAGGAAATCACTAGGAGAGTTTTATTATAGCTAAAAAGAAAAAACCACTTAGGAAAGATCAAAGTTGTACATCTCAGCAGCTGCTCAGAGAAGGAGAATGGAGAAGAAAAGAAACAAATATGCTTCTTGAATTAAGGAAGCATAGGGATAAGCCATATCATGGCAGAAAGCCATATGGGGGGAGGAGAAATTCAGAGAATGGGTGAGGACAGCCCAGTGGACCAGAAGAAGCATATGTGACATCTGGTCAGCATCTCATAGAAAGAGACAGGAGAGAAGAAAGAAGCTGGGTCTTTGGTGGAAAGGCTCAGCTGAGTGTCATGGCTGCTTGTCTTGTAGGGACTGAGCTAGAGCATGGGAACTGTTGGAAGGAAAATCACAAAATTTCCATAGAGGGATAAGTATTTCAGCTTCCTCTATAGCACAGCTTAAAGTGAACCTCCCTTCTTCCAGGTGGTGCCTGGGCTCTGTGTTTGACCCAGCTCGTTGAAATATTGGGCTCCACCAAGGCCAGTGATTCTACTTTCTTGACTAGAAGCTTTTCCATGATGGGCCTTTACTGCTGTTCTGATGCTGAGTTGATAATTTAGATGGTCATAGACAAGAATTTCTGTAATGATGAGGCAAGGATGAGCCTTTATTTTGGGAATCTTAAATCTTCCATGTTGTTAAATAGGAGTGGAATTTGATGCTGTGAAACATGTAACAAAGCCACCCAGAAAGTGTGACCTGAACACCAGGGTTTATGATGACTGTCTTTACAAATGCCCATAAGCTGAGACAGGAATCGAATTTTTAAGCCTTTTTTCCCTTAAAGATCTGACAAACTGGGAAGCCAGAGAACTATCTCTCAGATCTACTTTCCCATCCCACCCCCAGCTACCAAACTTTATCGAGAATTAAAACAGAGGCAGCCAATCATTCCAAAGTTTAATCTTGGTCCTTTAGGTTGGTGGTCAGTCTTGTCACTGAGATTTTCTCAGGCTGTACCTCTAATCACTATCATGTTTCTCTGTATACGGTTGTTCTCATGCTCCCAAGGTTCCATTTAGGTTGAAATGTAATTGTAACTCTGAACAAAAAATTATGAATGTGTACATGTTGAGCTATTTATAAACCATTAATAATGTATACAACCTGCACACAAAAAGTTGTTCACAATGTGCAATTGTAGATTCATTTCTAAGACATGAAACATAAATGTACTCTTATAATATGAGGGAATTTGCATATTTTGTCAGATTTTCTGGTTTCCTGGTGAGCTTAGTTTGGGAAGCTAGGGTCTCAGAAAACTCAACTACCTGAAAAGCTATCCAGAGTTAATAGATTTCAGATTTTTGTCTCAAGAATTCAAAGAAATCTAAGGACCCGAGATGGTAGATTTTAGCGAGAAATTTATTATAGATCTGCAAATGGGTGATAGAGAGAGAGAGAGAGAGAGAGAGAGAGAGAGAGAGAGAGAGAGAGAGAGAGACAGACAGACAGACAGACAGACAGACACAGACAGACACAGAGACACAGAGACATGGAGAGACAGAGAGAGAGACAGACAGACAGACAGACAGACAGACACAGACAGACACAGAGACACAGAGACATGGAGAGACAGAGAGAGAGACAGAGACAGACAGAGATAGAGAAAGAGACAGAGTCAGAGAGCCACAGAGAGAAAGTAGACATTCTGCATGGTAAGAATATGTTTCCAGGGAGGTACTAGGATGGGACATTCTAAAGGACA